CATTTTAAATTTTAACACTTTGAGGCAGTAAAATCCTAAACAGAGGTATGACCATCTAAGTACACTGAAGTCTTAGAAGAATGTAACTTTGGTTAGGATGACACTGCTAGAGACAGGGAAGGTTTGAATGGCTAATGAAGCATTTCCATGTCTGTGTTTTCTTTCACTGCCTCAAAGTGAGAGTCTTCTTTCCCTCTGACATGAATTACCACACCTCACTGGGTAACATCGGGGCTATGCACGCCACAGACATGTTCTGCACAGTTAGTGTAACCTGTGATATTGCTGCAAGGAGCTTGCTGGGTTTACAGAGCACTTGCTAGACACATATGTCCTCTGTCACTGTCAAATGTAGAAACCTCTTGGCAGGAGAGGAGGTTGGAGGGGGGACAAGGAAGTCCACGTTTGATGCTGTAGCAGATGCTGAACAGCAAATTCACTTTAATCAATGCAGGGCAAAAGTACACAGAACAGAGCCGGCTCAGTTTAACCTGGCATACAGAGACATCCACTGAGCTACACTTGAGAACCATTTTTGAATACAAAATTCACATGTATAGTGTGTTCTTCAATACTGGTCAGGTGTATAATTTGCAGGTTTTGCCTACAGAAATAACACTCAGGAGCCCAGCCCTCAGGAGCCCAGCCCTTTCCCAGTGGTTGCTTGTATATTTTGCAGACTGAAGCTGCAGTTTAACACATGTGGCCACCATTCATAACTTGCATATGCATTTTGTGCTACAATCTGGAACTAACCAGATATGAAGTTGGGAGATTTGTCATAAATCTTCCTATAATTTATAGGAAGGGTTACCCATTTGGATTTGGGTCAGAAGTGTGATTGGATTTTAATGTTTATTATTGTTTAAATTACTAACTTGTTTAATTTTAATCGTATTTATTGTACTGCTTTTATTGTGTTACCCGCCCTGAGCCCACTTGCAGGATGGGCGGGCTATAAATACAAATAATAAATAACTAAATAAATATGTGAGGGTGGAAGGTGAGTTTATCTCTTCCATACCTGCATAGTTTTGCCATTTGAACCTCCTCTCTACCCACTATTATTAGCCTTGGAAGGGGGGAAAACAGTGTATGGTATGTATGTGAGAGAGATGGGGAAGGGTTCAATTGGTGAAATTGTATGGGGGAGGAAGTTAAACCTCCCCCCCCCTTCTGCATATCGCCAGCCTGAATCTGAGCATGTGCAACTCCTCCATCTATTTTTTAAATGCTGGGAAAGTCTGAACATGCGTCTCCAAATCTCATCTAATTAGATCCTCAGTTCCTAACAGCTGATCATTATAAATCCTTTAAAACAAGAGTCCCTTGCCTCACTTCTGCTAGGTCAGTGCATTCTTTAATTTCAGAATGTTCCCTGTTTCTGAAGCCTCTGCTCCCCTATGAGTCTTCTTTCGTGCACAAACACCCGCCCTCTCTATGAACTTCTGTGGAAATGGGCAGTGATTGGGAGTCTGTGGAAGCTCTGGCTATTACTTCCTGGCAAAGTACTACTACACCACACCATAGCACAAGGGGTCCCTCTTTTAGTTCTAACAGTGCACAATGTTAAGTGTCTCTTTTGCTGAATGATTAACATGTTTCAAGTCCCATTAAGAATGGTTATGACAGGGAGAGGCAGGCAGCTGTCGTGAGTAATTACCATATACTTGAATGATCCTGTAATCCAGGGCTGGCTGGGCTGAGGACGGGAAGGATAGGGATGGGAGGAGGAAAACTGCAGGAGTGTCTGGCACTGGCAAGGACTTGATAGAGCACATCCTGGAACTGATGGATGTTGTACAGACTATCCTTTGACACAGCTGATAGTGCCTGAGAGACTGAGCAACTGGTGGTGAGATGGATGATGCCAGGGGATGAATAATATTTGCATATGCTACAGCTTGGGCCATGACTGGGGCATACAAATTGGGGACATTTAAGGAAAATATGCTGTATGGCCAACCTCAGCTCTATTACAAGTGTGTGTGCTTATGTGGGAAACACTATAGACAAAGACTGGCGTGGTAGAATTTGGGATGTAGTTGGAGACATGCTGTGGATCAGCAGAAAGGCCTGTGCTTGCTTGCTTGCTTTATTTATTTATCTATCAAATTTATACCCTGCCCTCCCAGCTAAGGCTGGCTCAGGGTCCCAGGTTCAATCCCTGGCATCACCAGCTAAAAGGACCAAGTAGTAGCTGATGTGAGAGACCTCTGACTTAGACCCTGGAGACCCACTGCCAGCCTGAGAGTAGATAATGCTGATCTTGATGGAATGGTGGTCTGATGCAGTAAAGGCAGCGTTGTGTGTGTGCTCCAATATCCTCAGTTCACATGGTGAAAGTACTTTAATTATCTGTTGCTCCACTAGAAAACTTACTGGTAAGATGAAAATAAGCTTTTTGCTATTCATCTTACTTAATTTTATGGGTGATCTGGAAAACTGTGCTTTCATTCTGTACAACAAAAAGCATACTAAAAGGCTATTATATATGCCTCACTATGCCTTCTCTGTGAATCAGAGCAGTATGTCTTTAGAAGCTATTGGGTCACAAGGTATTAATCTGTTTTAAAAAGAGACAACATAATGCCTGATAGTGTGCAAATGAGAATAAGCTTAGCAGGCCCAAGCAGAACACACACACACACAATAGTTTTGCTGTTTAAGGATCAAGGCAGCATGAACAAACAGTGCTTAAGTTAAATGTGGAGCAGGGCATTTGTGCTCCCAGTGAGGTAATATGGAATAAAATAAGTTAAGACAACGTTAAAAATTATTTCATTTATTTATTTCATTGGATTTCTTGACCGCCCTTCCCTGCTTACGTGGGGTTCAGGGCGGTTTACAACAACATAGTTCAGTACAATTATAAAATCAATTAAAACTACAAGAATTCAATATTAAAACATTCAGCATAAATATTTAAACATTTTAAGAGCAAGATGGCCTATCTAGCATTCAGATTTTTCTGAGCGGGGGAGGGGAGGGTGATGGGCAGATGTAAGGGAACCATCACCGGCCTCAACCAAAGGCCTGGCAGAGCATCTCTGCCTTACATGCCCTGTGGAACTTTAATAGATCAGACAGGGCATGGATGTCATTTGGCAGAAAATTCCACCAAGCTGGGGCCAAGGTTTAGAAAGCCCTGGCCCTGGTCGAGGCCAGCCGGATATCTTTGGGGCTGGGAACCACCAGGAGATTCTTATCTGCTGATCTCAATGCCCTTCAGGGGACATATTGGGAGAGGCCGTCCCGAAGGTACATAGGTCCATCCGTGACTGTTAAGGGTTTTAAATTTGAGCACCAAAACCTTGAATTTGATCTGGTGCTCCACTGGCAGCCAGTGCAGCTTGTGCAGCACTGGGTGGATATGTGCCCTCTGTGGAGTCCCCGTAAGGTCCTGCGCAACTGCATTTTGTACCAGTTGGAGCTTCTGGGTTAGTCTCAAGGGCAGCCCTACATAAAGCGAGTTACAATAGTCCAACCTAGAGGTGACCGTTGCATGGATTACTGTGGCAAGGTCAGAGCGAGACAGATAGGGGGCCAGCTGCTGAACTTGGCGCAGTTAGAAAAATGTCTGCCGGACAACATTGGCAATCTGGGCCTCCATAGACAGAGTGGGGGGGGTCCAACATCTCCCCCAGGCTCCTGACGGTAGGTGCCGGAGTCAGAGGCACCCCATCAAGGTCTGGGAGTTAGCTCCCCAATCCTGAATTGCCCCCCCCCCCGCCACAGAACCTCCGTCTTAACTGGATTCAGCTTCAACTGGCTTTGCTTCAACCATCCCACCATGGCCTCCAACCCCTCAGCTAGATTTTTCGGGTCAGAGTCTGGATGGCCACTCATCAACAGATATAGCTGGGTGTCATCAGCATATTTGGTGACACCTGAGCCTGAAACTCCAAGCCAGTTGGGCGAGGGGGCACATATAGATATTAAACAACATTAGAGAGAGAATCGCCCCCGAGGTACTCCACATATTAGTGGGTGTCTGGTTGATGTCTCTCCTCCTATCACCACCCTCTGTCCCCAACCATGGAGAAACAAGATTAGCCACTTCAAGAAGACTGTCCCATCCCTGTTGGACTCCTTGGGGGGGGCAGATAGTGAAAGTCGTAGTAGATAACTCACTGAAAATGTCGAGACAGTATTTGACTGCAATAAAAAAAAGGCCAATGCTATGCTGGGGATTATTTGGAAGGGTATTGAAAACAGATCAGCCAATATCATAATACCCTATATAAATCAATGGTGCGACCTTATTTCGAATACTGTGTGCAGTTCTGGTCACCACATCCTTAAAAAGGATATTATAGCTTTGGAAAAAGTGCAGAAAAGGGCAACTCGAATGACAAAAGGGTTGGAACACTTTCCCTATGAGGAAAGGTTAAAGCGCTTAGGGCTCTTTAGCTTGGAGAAACGACGACTGAGGAGTGACATGATTGAGGTTTATAAGTTTATGCATGGGATAGAG